AAGGGAGGAAGGGCCATCCCCAAGCCCCCAGTAGCCCCCCACCAGGGTCAGACTCTGCAGGCACCGGGATGCCCGGGATGCGGAGGGGCTCAGTCCTCTATGCCTTGCCACAAGCTCCGTGGGTGACCATCACCTCCAGGGGCCACTGACCCCAAATGGCACAGCTGTGGAGAGCAGAGTGGGACTCGGCCAGGCGGAGTCCCCAGCCCCCACCCCACAGCCCCCGCCCAGCACCCCGCCTAGGGCCCAGAGGCAGGTGGCCCCAGAGGCCAGAGGTCCCGGCCCAGAAGCAGGGGGGCCCGGGCCACCGCCAGGTAAGCTACGTGCCCAGCCCAGCCTGGCAGGGGGGCCGCGCTCCCAGCACCCTCCACCTGCACCTCCCGGGAGCCGAGGACTGGGCTCGGACGCCACCTGTGCTGCCCCTCACCACGGGCCTGGAGACCCTCCCCTGCTTTGCTGGGTCAGGACCGCCGTGACCTGCACAGGACCCCTGCCCACTTGACCAAAGACGCCCACCGGAAGGGACCTGGCCCCACCTCAGATGCCCCTTCCCTCACCAGGTGGCTGGCCGTGGCCCGGAGCAGAGGGAACCCAGGGCCCAGCCCATGGAAGGGCGGGTGGGAGCGGCAGGCCCAGGCCCCCACCTGAGGCCACCCTGTCCCGGGGGGGCCACTGTCCCAGCCCCACAGGACCTTGCCCCTGGCCCCCCCGCCCCCGTCCAGCTGCATCCACCAGACATCCAGGTCCCCTTCACACTAAGGTTGGACCGGTCACCCATCCCAGAGGGCGTTCATCCCAGGAATAAATGACGCTGCTGGACAGACAGACAGCCCTGGGGCTCTGCAGGCAGACCTCAGGAGAGAAGGGAGGCAGCTGAGGGCGGTCCTTGGCCACCAAGCCGCCAGCCAGCGACCCCGGGAGGACGTGCCGTGAGCCTCCTCCAGTCTGTCTGCTCACTGCGCCTTCCAGCGTCACCCCGACCTGTGCCCTCCCGACCCACCTCGACCCACAGTGGCCCCTGCCCTCCTCTGGGCCCTGCTCCATCCCAGCTGCGTCCAGGCCTGCCCAGACAACCAGGGAAACTCCAGTCCTGCTCCCAGACCCCGATGACCGACCTGCCCGCCCACCTCGTGGGCCAGCGAACCCATGGGTCCTGAGAATCCCCCAGTAGGCAGGCCTCCCTGGGAGTGGGTGTGGGGTGGGGGCCTCTGCAGCTTGTGGGCGGCCCGCAGGGGCTCTCGGACACAGGCCGGAGGTCATGGTCAGGGGAGGCACACTGGGGGCTGGGCCCGTGACTGACATACCCCACGCTTTCCGCCGCTTCAGTTTGTAGCAAAGAGCGTGTGTGACTTTGGTAACTTTTGTTAAAACAATAAACTAAGTTAAAAACATAAGTGGCCTTCCACAGAGCCCATGGTCACGGCCAAAGCCGCCAGGACCCAGAGCAGCAGAGGCTTCGTGAGCCCACTGGGTGCCGGCGGCGGAGCTCCCCACCCCGCCCCCCCCCCCCACCGTGGAGCCCGGCCCCAGGCGGGTGCCCAAGCTGCCAGGCAGGGCTCGGGCATCCAGCCTTCCAAGGCTGCCAGGGACACACCTGTCCCCCTGTGCCTCTCTGTGATGGGGGGGGACGCCCAAGAAAGTCCAGTCGTCCGAATGTCCCTCGAGCACCCGAGAGCCGCAGAGCAGCCCCAGCTGCACCTCAGCTGCGGCTGCCCAGGGGCCGGGCAACCCACAGAATCCAGGAAACAGCCTCAATGTCAAAGTCCCCAGACACAGCCACACACAAGGACACGGGCTGCCTGAGGGCAGCCGGGCACACCTGCCACCGCAGGGCCTCTGGCCCCCCCAGCTCTGGGACTCAGGTTACTGCGGGCGGTGCTGGGTCAGGCCTGGGGCGAGCAGCCGGCCCCCTGCTCCCGGTCCCAGGGGCCCAGCCAGTGCCGGTGGGAAGTGTGCTCTCGGTGAGACGGCCAGCCCCCGCCAGCACCGGTGCAGGGACGCTGACCCAGAGGCTGCTCCCAGGACACCCAGGGCAGGGACAGAGGCCCAATGGCAAGCAACCCCCAGGGAAGGGGTGGACGGAGTGACCCTTAACCTCTGCCTTGCTCTCAGGATCCTGGAGCAGGGAGCCAGGGCGCGTCTGCCTTGAGCCTCTGGAAACTTCTGCAGACCCCAGCACACAGATCCGTGCCCCTGTCCCAGACCGCCTCACTTCCCCTCCAGGCAAACTAGGGGACCCCGGGGGACCCCTTCTGCCCTGACACTCCGACAGACACGCGCTGACCCCAGGCCCCATAAATCAGAAGCTTCCAGGCCAGCCGAAGCACCTGCCCCCGCAGAGCGGGGAGAGCAGAGCGAGCCCTAGTGCGGGGTCGCCCTGGCCCACAACCTCTGACCCGCAGGTCACACGCACTGAGGCCCACAAGCCCAGGCCCGGGGAGGGTGGAGAAGCCAGGACGCCCGCCCCGCCGCTGCGCAGACAGGTGCCGACACCAGCGCCACGCGCGGCCCCCGCGGCCCACTGACCCGAAGTCCTGGTCCATGGACTTGAAGAAGAATTTGTAGGCGTGCACCGGCCGGTTGCTGAGCACGTTCTTGAAGTCGGCCAGCGTGACGCGCTCGGGCGCCACGGGCAGCTTGACCAGGTACGGCGTCTCCTCCTCGTCCATGTGATAGATGATCTTGGTCTCCGCCATGGTGCGGCGGCGGCGGGCCCGGGGCCCGCGCAGCGCTCAGGCCCGGCCCGGGGCTCGGACGCGGGCGCCTCCCCTCCGCCGGCCTGCTCCCGGCCCGGCCGCCGCGGCCTCGCCCGCCCCGCCGCCCCGGACTCCACGCACACCCCGGCTGCTGCCCCGCGGCCCGAGGCCGCCCATCCGCCCCCGACCCGGGGACGCAGGCAGGGAGCGCGCGAGGCCCGGCCGCCCCCTCGGGCCGCGCAGTTCCAGGGACCGCCCGGCACGGGGATGAGAGCGCCGCCCGCGGGGGGCGCCCGAGAGCGCGGCGGAGCCTGACGTCACCGGGCCGCCTGCGCCGCGGAGGCGGGGCTGCGCACGCGCGAGAGGGCGGGGCGCGCGCGTGGCTGGGCCCTGGAGTGCGCGCCCGCGCGCGGCCTCTGACGCGCTCTCCCCCGACCCGCCCCCTGTCCCGCGGCTGGGCTCGCGGAGGCGCCCACGACACACTCTGGGGCTGTCGGCTGGTGCAGACAGGGGGCGCCTCCGGGACAGGAGGTGGGTGGGGACCCACCTGCGCTTCGCGCCCCCAGCCGTCAGAGGGGAGACCCCCGCCCCGTCGGGAGCCCTCCGAAAAGTGTCGCACGAAAGGGTTCCGGTTCTCCGCCCCCTCGCGAGGGCTCCCGGGTCCGTGGGTGTTCAAAGTCCGGAGGCTTCCTGGTCACACTGGCGGACTCCTGGGGACTTCGCAGGAAGCTGAGGACTTGGGTCGCCGCCGGAAGCGGAGGACACCCGGTCGCTTTGCGTCCCCGCGCCAGCTCCGACGTCGCGCAAGCTCTGCCGGCACCCACGCGAGCTTTGAGCAACACGGGCCGAGTGAATACGGGGCGCGCTCGGGAGTGCGGGTGTGAGCACGAGCCCGTGAGGCCAAGGCAACCCCGGGGGTGGCAGGCGTCGGCACGGCAGCTGTGCGCGCGCACGTGCGCCCAGAGGTGCCCAGGCATGCAGCTTCTGGCAACACGTGAAAGGATTCCCCCCCCCCCCCCGTCAATCTAACCACCCTGAGGTTGTCCGCCAAGGGAGACCCTGAGCAGCGCCCCGTCTGTCGGGCCGGGCCGTGAAGGGTCCAGCCACAGGCGTCTCCCACCGCAGTGAGCGCAGTGAGCGAGTGGCCCTTCCCCAGCTCCAGGAGGAAGCCTTGGTCCACTAGAGGGAGTCCCACACTGGCGAGAGTAACAAGAGAGGCAGCCCTAGCGTGGGACCTGAGAAGGGGGGCGAGGGGCGGGTAGGTGCTGCCCCTCTCACCTCACCCCAGCACTGCTCTTGAAGCTGCCTGGAGCCTAGGACCACCCTCGGGCGGTGGTCCCACACAGGAAAGACCCCACCAGTCCAGCCCTGGCCAGAGGAGCCAGAGTGCGGCGGACAAAAGCCCCTGAGCCCAGGCCAGGACCGTCTCCGGGTCAGTGCAGGCTGGCGGCCTGACCTCCACTCCCCTAGGCCCTGGGAGGTCGGCCCCCTTCGGCAAGGCCTGGACCTTCTGCCCTCAGGTGTCGGTCTCCCCAGAGGCACCCTGAGGAAGCCAGGCAGGGTGGCCTCGGAGGGAGTGTCCATCGAGACTCTGTGCCGGATGTCCAGGGAAGGAGGAAGACTGTGCCCACCTGAGACCTCACAGGGTAGCAGCATCCTCCAAGCCATGCACAAGGCTGCTGGCCGCACAGACGGGGGACCTGATGCCCCAGCGGCTCTCCAGCCCCCGAGGTCATCTGTCCCACTTGATAGCCCGAGTCATGGGAGACACTCGGAGAGCTGACCCCAGCTGACGCCGCTGGGTCAGGCTCAGGCCCTGAGGGAGGGAGAGTCTGTGCCCAGAGCACAGCCTGAGCCCTTACAGGGGGGCCTTGTCCAGTGGAGGTGGTGGCCACCAGGAGCCAGGAGTCACTGGGCTCAGAGGGAGGCCACGCTCAGGCAAGCCGCCGCTGCAGAGCCAGCCTCCTTCCCTGCTTTTGCCACTATGGGTCCTTGTGTGTGTCTTTGGGGGAGGAGGGGGGGCTGGCTATTTGGGTCTGGGCCTTGGCCTCAGCCAGTGTGACAACACCGCTGACACCAGACCCTGGGTTCTGACAAGGACCAGCGCTTGGGGCTCCCACCCGAGCTCTCACCGCGCTTCTCCTGGGCCCCTTTTTAAATAGCCACTGTGAAAAGTTAGCGACCTCCATCCAGCCCCCTGGAAGGCAGCAGAAGCTTCCGTCTCCAGTTGGCTTGTGACAGGGTCGGGGGACTGCCCTCCCCCACCCCCATTTCTGGCATCTGCAAAGTAACAGGTCTCGTGGCTTTATTTCCTTTGTGTGAGTTTATTGATATCTTCTCGGGAGACACCCCCGGAGTTGTCACTTCCCCAGGCGAAAGCTCCGATGCCCAGGGTGGGGGCGGCTGCTGCCTCCTCCTGTCGCAGGTCGTGCCCTTAACCCACCAGCTCGTGGGGCTTTGAAGACACACCAGGTGACAGCCAGGCTTTCCTGCTCCCTGCTGTCCTGGAGGGGGGGGCCTTGGAGGGCGGGGCCGGGGCTGGGAGGCTGGGGCTCCTCCCTGCCGCAGCCCCTGCCCTGTAGGAGGGTCGCGCCGGCACCCTGTCTGCAGGTGCCGTGCTTCCTCCTGCTGCTCCACCTACATGCCCCCACGTCTAGCCCTCCCTGCTCCTCAGAGGACGGGGCTGACACTGCCCCCTCTGTCCTCGGGCCACCAGAGTGCTCCCCTGCCCCGCATCCAAATCCATCCCCAGAAGCTGACCCCAGACTCCACCCCGACCAGGCATAAGTGCTGCAGGACTCCGAGGTCGGCTTTTCCAGGACACCCCACCCAGACCTTCTGGTCAAGTGGGTGCTGGCGGTGGGACTTCTGGCGACAGAAAGCATGTGGGGGCTCCGAGGCCCAGACTGGACCCCCCCCCCCCGGGATGGGCAGGGACAGCAGAGGCACACCTGGGGCCAAGTCTGAGAATCCGACAGGACCTTTATTGCGATGGTGGCGATTTCCCAAGACGAGGGAGTGTGGGTGTCGGGAGCCGCCGCACGGGCTGCTCTAGCACCGCCGTCACCCTCCCCTGTCCTCGGAGAGAACAGAAGCCGGATGACGCCCCGGCCCGAGACTCCAGCCCAGGGAGGGACCAAAGGTCTCTGGGAGCCCAGAGACTGTCGAGGCAGCTCACGCGGAGGGAGGCCGGAGCGGGCTGGGAGACAGAGAAAGGGCCCAGGGCAGGCCCCTGAGGCAGCACAGAGGGGCGCCAGCCCCCTGCTGGGATGTGCCATCCTCGGGCCCCCGAGTGCAGCCAATGGCAGCCTGGCCGGGCAGCCACGGTGCAGACTGGGAGCCAGCAGGCAGCTCCCCCCCCAGGAAGGCCTGGAGACGCCCAGAGGCTGACCCGGTTCCGAGAGTCCCTGCTGAGCCCCCGCAGGGTGTCTTGCTGCCCTGCCCCTGCAGAGGCCGGGCTCGAAGAGCCTGAGGCCTCGGTGAACATCAGCGAGCGCATCAGGTGCCGAGGGGGCAGGGCCAGCAGTGAGCCCCTGCAGCGGCCCCTGAGGGCGTGGGCCGCAGCGTCCGCAGGGCCTGCGGAGCCCACTGCCGCTTGCCAGGAGGGCGGCAGCCCCCAGGAGAGGGCTCTGGTGGCAGCCTTGCTCTGCACCAGCTCGGGCCAAGTTCCGGGACAGCGGGACCAGCCGCTGGGGGAGGGGCCAGGCGACTGGACAAGGGTCAGTCAGGAGGACGCGCTCGACGGACAGGAGTCGGCAGCCCCGCTGGCCGGCCAGGAGCCCAATCGCCTTACTTGCAGTATTCCTTCCTGAACTCTGGAAGCCGAGGGGACGAGCGGGTGGGTGGCGGCCCTCCGCCCCTCCGCCCTGCAGGGCTGCCCGGGGATTTCTGGGAAGCTGAGGTGGCAGGGGGTCCCCCCACGGGGCTGCCTGGGAGGGCACAGAGTGGGACCCGGCCTGGCCCCGTGAGCAGGGGCCTGGCTCCCAGCTGCTCACCTTTGTCCAAGTCGATGTGCTTGGCGGGCAGAGGGCAGTGAGCCAGCTCCGCCCTCTCCTTCAGGATGTTGTTTTTGTAATCTGCGGGAGGGAAAGGGCAGGTGAGCCCCTCGGGCCAGCCTCCCCAGCCCCGACCTGGGAGCCTCGCCCCTGCGTTCCTGTGTGTGCGCCGGGGAGGAGGACTCACCTAGTTGGATGTCCTCTGTCCTGTAAAAACCCTGGTCCCCGGTGGCCACAGCAAACTCCGCAGCGTTCCCGTCTTTCCTGGAGGGGGAGGGGGAGGGGGGTGATTAGGGCAGCAGGTGGGGCCAGGCCTGGCCACCCAGGACAGCGGGAGGGGACACTCACCTCTTTGACTTCCGCGGCTTCCTGGGCGAGTACTCATAACCTGGGAGGGGAGACCGGTGTTGGGGACAGTTCAGGCCCCCCCCCCAGCCCTGAGGGGCTCTCCTGCCTCATTACCGAGGGTCTCGGGGTCCCCTGCCCGCCCTCTGCCCAGGTGCCACACCGCAGCACCGCAGGCCCCTCCCCTGGCCGGGGAGGCTTCCCAGTCCTGGCCTGGCTCCCACGCGCGCCCGGGGGCTCGGGGCTCGGCCCACCTCCGCTGCGGCGGTGACGCGTGGCCAGGACGACGGTGATGAGCAGCAGGATGAAGAGCAGCAGCGTGGCCAGCACGTAGCCCAGCTGCTGGAAGAAGTGGGCCCGGCTCTCGGGGACGATGACGTTGATGACGCTGCGGCCGCGCGCCAGCGTGGGATCTGCAGGGGCCGTGCAGGGGCCGATCAGGGAGCCCGCTGCGTGGCGCGCCACGCGGGACACCGCCACCCGAGCCGCTCTCGCGGCGCCACGTGGATCTTGGGGAAGGGACAGGCGACCACAGCCCGCGGGGGCCACCCCTCGCTGGCACCAGGCCCCTGGTAGCAGTTCCTGGCCCCCAGACGTTCCCCGGGCGCCCGGGGCGGCCTCCTTCACCTGGCGCGGGGACGCCGCCGGGGCTGGAGCCGTTGCCCGGCGAGTCCCGCGGGGGCGGCTCGGCGGGGGGCGGGGGCGGGGGCGGGGGCGGGGTCCGGGGCGGGCTCGGTCACTTTCAGGTGGAAGACGCGGCGCTCGTGCAGGCCGCAGTAGTGGTGGTGCAGGTGGCAGGAGTAGGTGCCCTCGTCGGCCGGCTCCAGCGGGGCGATGCGCAGGGAGAAGTCGCCGCGCGCGAAGGCGTCTTCCTCCACCGCCACGCGGTCGCGCAGGAAGGGCGGCCCGTAGGCGCGGCGCTCGCCAGACGCGTACAGGTCGAGCAGTCGGTCGGCGCGGTCGTGTGGGACCCCGGGCGGCTGCCGGTCCCAGTGCACCACCTGCTGCGCCTCCTCCAGGTGCCGGTCGGTCCACACGTGCGCGCGGTTCACGCACGTCAGAAGCGCGGGCGCGCCGCGCTCCACCACCAGCACCTCCTTCTCACCGTCCCAGTGCGCACCGGCTTCCCGGGCTGGGGGACGCAGGTCGGTCAGCAGCGAGGCGGGGCGGGGCCGGGGGAGGAGGGAGGGGCCGGGGCGGGGGGTGGGGGGCGGGGGAGGAGGGAGGGGGCCGGGGCGGGGGCGGGGCAGCTGGGGCTGCGGGGAGCGGGGCGGCGCACTCACGGTCGCCGGTGACTTGCAGGCGGACGGCCAGGCTCTCGTAGAGGTGGCAGTAGTGGTGGTGCAGGTTGCAGGTGTAGAGCCCCTCGTCCGTCTCCTCCACCGCTGCGGCCCCGAGGGAAACCGGCCGTGAGCTCCGCGGGCTGGGCTCGCGCCTCCCCCCGGCCCCCGCCGCGGTTCCAGGCCCCCTACCTCGGATGAGCAGCGAGAAGTTGCCGTCCTGGAAGGCGGAGGGCGGCAGCAGGAGGCGGCCGCGGTCCCTCGGCTCGTACACACGCTGCTCCCCCGCCGAGTACATGTCCACCAGCCGGTGCGCGGGGCGCCCGCCGGGGCCGCCGCTGAGGTCCCAGTGGACCACGCGCTGGCGGTCGTGCAGCCGGTCTTGCGTCCAGACCATGCGCGGGCTCTGGCAGCGCAGCACGGCCGGGGCCCCCGCCGGCCAGCTCACTGCGGACTCTGACACCACGGAGCTGCCTGCCGGCACCGACCCGGGTGGCCCTGGTGGGGAGGGAAGTCACTGGAGGCGGCGTGCGGCCTGAGGGGACAGGGGCAGGGTGGGGCCTGCCAGACAGGGCGGCCGTGCCACGGGCAGTGGGGGACAGTCACTAACCTGAGGACAGCAGCACAGTGGCACCTGGGGGGGGGGAGGAAGAGTGGGTCATGCGGGGGAGGGGCAGCCGGAGCCTCTGCATCCCCAGCACCCTGGGAAGGGCCTCAGGCCCGGGTCCCTTCTGCAGTCCTCACTGTGGTGGGTGCCAACAACCCCCAGGGGATGGGTGGCGATGAAGCCAATCCAGCCAGGAAGACACAGGGGGGCCTCGTCTGGCCCCACGTGGCTCAGGCACCTTTCCCATGGCCCCCCCTGGCCGGTCCCACAGCACCTGCCCTTTGGAGGGGGTGGTGCAGCTGGTCCCCAAAGGCCTGGCATCCCTTGGGGGGCCAGGCCACCCGAGCCCTTGCCGGCCCCCGTCCACTGGGAGCCACCCCCCACCCCCAGCGCCCAGGCTGGAGCCCCACTGGCCTTTCTGAGCGGCGGGTTTCTGCAGCACAGAGATGCTGGACGGGGGCAGTGACCCCACCAGCTGCCACCTCAGAGTCACGTTCCTGCTCCGGAGATGTGGCTGGGCGCCGGGGGCGGAGGAATGTGCCCCGTCAGCAGGCCAGCCTGGGGCAGGCCGGGGCCTGGGAGCCACGGAGGGAGGCTGGGGCAGACCCTGCCAGTCCCACAGCCCCGGCCGGCCCCCTCCTGACCTGACGACTGGGAGCGCAGGCCCGGGGGACTCGCCCCGCAGCGGGGCGCAGCACACGCCCAGCCCGCAGCCTCAGCCTCCCGGCCCTCCCTGGCCTCCACCTCCGGCTCCCATGTGGGTGGCTGCTCTGGAGGACCTCAGACACTCACGCCCTCCCGGGTGCTGGGCGCCCCCGTCATCGTGAGCTGCTCCTTCTGAGGGTCGCCAGACTGGGGCCCCTTCGCAGCTGCGGGGGGGGGGACGTCCCACCCCCACTCTGGGATGGAGCTCAGGCAGGCGGATCTGCCGAGACCCCGAGCTCGCTCCGACCCCCTGGCGGCCGTGCCTCCTGGCGCCCGCGCCCTGAACTCACTCTGCAGAAGCAGGAGTTTCCACAGCAAGACGTGGGGCCGGGGCTGCATGGCGCCTGCTCAGCCGGCCCGGCCGGCCCCGCTTTGTCTCTCTCTCGCTCCCTCCAGCTCCGGCTCTCCCTCTCCAGAAAAACAGCCCGGCCCCCGCCCCTCCTCAGCACCCGCCATGACATCACGGAGCCCTGGGCCGGGCGGCGGGCTGCAGCCCGCCCCTCAGCTCCTGCCCGGCCCCTTGGCCTCCCTCCGTCCTCGTCTGGCCTGGGGGGAGGGGGTGCTGTGGCCACTGAGTCCCCAACAGCGAGGGGAGTCCAGGCGGAGACCTCGCCCCTCCCTGGCGCAGGTCCTGGCGAGGGGCCGCAGCCCAGCCCTCGGAGGGCCGAAGGGCACGGCCCCAGATGCCTGTGTGTGCCCGTGACACGTGGGGGCCCGTCCAGGGTTGCTGCGGGGCTGGACTTCGGGTGAGCATCCTTTCACCCCACTCTGTGGGGAGACACTGCCCAAGGGTGTCCCCTGCCCCAGGTCCCCTCGCCAAAGTGCTAGGAGGGTCCTTGCCCTCGGCCTGCTGGGCAGCCGGGGGCCAGAGGCCGGGAGAAGGCATCCCGGGGCGGGGTCCCGTCCGGCGAGCCTGGAGGACCCTGCCCTCATCCTCTGGGGCCACACTTCATCGGCGAAGTGGGGGTCAGAAGCGCGCCAGCCCTGGGAGGGGCCGGGGGCAGCACCGAGGGCCCCGCTGTCTGCCAGTCACGCCCCCTGTCAGAGGAGTCGGGTGCCGAGGGCAGGGACCCTGAGCACCGAGGGGTCAGCGGGTGAGCAACGCCCACCCCTCTGGACTGCCTGCCCCCCAACACCTGCCGACCGCCCAGGGCAGAGTCTGGAGTCCCTGAAACCAAGCCCGGACTGCACTGCCCCGAGGGGTACCCCCACCCCCCCCCCGCCCCCGCTCAGAGGAGAGGGGAGGAAGGAGCGGGCATAGCAGTCCCCCCCCCACCCACCCCAGAAGGCACAAATTTGAAACTCTGGGAAAACCTACAAAGTCACATAAACAAATGGGAAATAACAGAGCACGCGCTGTGTACCAAACCCACTCCTTCTAGTTAGGCAAACCTCAGGAAAACCCACACGACCACAAAGGCCCCCGTCGCGCTTTTCAGAGCCGTTGGGGCTGAATCACTGCCACAGGCCCCAGTCGCTGGTGGGCCGGTGGGCTGCGGCCGTGCCCTTGACCCCGGCCCCGGCCCCTAAATCCTTGGACCGGCCGACGGCCCAGCCCCTCCGGCCAGGGAGGAGGCCAGTGCCGTGGCAGAGGGGACTGGGGTGACAACGGGGAGCCCCCCCCCACTGGATGGCCGTTCCTCAGCAGGATCCAGGCCCCGAGGGGCGGAGCCCATTTTCCAAAATGGGATCAGAACTTCCAGCTCCTCCCTGGGCCGTTCATTCTGGAAAAACAAGCCGCCTGGCAGGCCCCAGGGTCTGGCCTCTCTCCTGTTTTTCTAACTGGTTTGTGTTAGCGCGGTGGCCGCCCTCCCCCCCCACCCCTGCGCCCCCGCCCACCCATCTGTCTCTCCATCTCTGTCCTCTGTTCCCGCCTCTGTGGGGGAGGATGTCCACGCGGCCACGCAGAGCTGGAGCGGGGCTGGGGACCCTGTCCGTCAGCTCGTAGCCCTGCACCAGGAGCCTGGGGGCGCCCGGGGCACCCCCTGAACCGCCCCTGGGTCCCTGGCCTCAGGGCCACGGTGCAGAGGGTCCTCCCGCTGCGGGCGGACTCCGCCCCCCAGCGCAGACGGAGGTCTGAGGGGCGTGCCCCTGCGGGACTGCTGGCCCCTGCGGCTCGGCTGGGCAGGCACGGCTAGGCGCGGTGCAGCCCCTCCCACCCGGCCGGCCCCTCCCCTCTCCCTGCTGGAGGCCGGGAGGCTGAGTCCCGCAGCAACAAGCTGCTGCCCCGCCCCCATCCTGAGCCGGAAACGGCCACAGAGGAGCAGAGGCCCAGCAGGCGGCTGGGCTGCTGACCGGGCCACCGGCCCCTCCCACTGCCAAGGCCTGAGACCCCAGCTCCCCCCCAAGTGCCTACGGTCCACGGAGCCCCCAGCCTCGCCCGGCCCCCCGACCTGGGGAGAAAACCATCAGGGCAGACGTCCCCCCACCCAGGGCTCTGGCCCAGCCCCCGCCCCCTCCTGGGTGGCGTGGCTGCACGGGGTCAGCCAGCAGGCGCGGAGAAGCGGACTCTGGCTCCTGCTCCCGGGGACGCGGACATTCCAGGCGGCCTGGCTCACGGGGCGGAAAACCACAGGCACTCAGACGCAACCAGACACTCACACACGTGGTCGCACCAGCTGGCTGCCGAGCGCCTACTGTGTGCAGGGCGGAGCGCCTCCTGTGTGCAGGGCTGGGGCGGTCACAGCGCAGGGGTGCCAGGCCCAGCCCTGCTGGGGCTGTCGGAGTCGCAGGGCTGCCCGCTGACCGCAGGGCCCACCAGCGCCCTGGGAGCGGTGCCTCCACGGGGCTGCAGCGGGCTCCTCCCCCAGGGGACGGCAGTGGCCTCTCCAGGAGCCACTCCCACAAGTGACGGCCAGGGGCGCTGCCTCCCAGGTGAGGAGGGCCGGTGCAGGCCGCGGAGAGGAGGCGGCAGCCTGGGCCTGGCAGGAATCCGTGTGGGAGGGGCGTGGCCTGGAGACGCAGGAAATGCCGGCCGGTCTGCAGGACCCACGGGACGTGCAAGGGAGACAGCCGTCCAAGGGCCAGGCGCCGGACACAGCTCTCAGGTGCTCCCTGGGGCTCCGGCTGCTGTGTCCACACCCTGTGGGCCCCCTGGAGTGTCGCAGGAGCGGTGACTGTGGTGGCACCCCACGGTCAGAGTCCCCCACCCTGCAGGCCAAGCCGGGAAAGGGCCCCCCAAGGGGACCGTGTGGCCGGACCCTGAGGGCAGCCCCAGCCACCCACCAAGGAGGACAGGGACCGCGTCTACCTAATCCCGCCCCCAGCTGAGGACACGGCTGCCTGGCCCAGGGGGCCATGTGGGGACGAGTGGGCGGCGGCGAACCGCTCAGCGCGTGGCAGGCGTCGGGGGCGCAGCCACAGAAGACAAACACGACCGTCTCCCGGCGCGCTGCTGCCTGTGACACAAGGCGAAGCGACCGGTGTCCCTGTTCAGAGCGGCTGCTGGCCACGGACCGCGCGTGGGTGGGCGGTGGGGCACCGAGGGACCGTCCACACCGGGCAGAGCGGGACACAGGCCACAAGCGGCGCTGGGGCCGACCGTCCTCCAGGCAGTGGTCACTTGCACATGCACTCTTCCTGCTTCTGGAGTCCCAGTGGTTCCCGAGAGGCGGGGACCCCGCGTCCCCCGGAGACCTGGGTGTGGCCCGCGGAGGTGGGACTCTCTCGTCTCCTCCCGGGGAGACGGGCCTGTCCGCACGGCCAGGGGCTGCGGTGCACACTGACTGGTCTGAGAGCGGGGGTGGGAAGATGGGGACACACACGCGCACACACACACACACACACACACACACACACACACACACACGCGAACGTCCTTCCGGGGCAGCCGGCCTTCTCCTGGGGGAACCTCGGGGAACCACGGCCGCAGGCAGGCGCTCCCCCGTGCCGGGCCTGCTCCGTGGGGGCGGAGGCGGCTGGGGGGCTGACCCGCAGAGACCTGCTTGCTGCCGGGCCCCGAGACCAGGACCGTGGCCACAGGCCCGGGGCTGACCTCTGTCCTGCAGCCTCTCCTGCCGTGCGGGAACCGGTCCTCATCGCCCCGCTGCCCTGTCAGTTGCGGCCACGTGCCCCCGCCGACCACCCCACGGCGACAAGCCCACTCTGGGGCCGAGCTCAGCAAGAGGCCGTCCCGTGGCTGCTGGGTCACGGGCGCCCAGACACGCAGCTGCCATCTCGGAGCCTTGGCCCAGCCACGGTCACTGTCCCCCTGCCCTGTCACTGTGGAGGCTGGCACAGCCACCGCCCCTTGCGTTCCCGCGGACGGCCAGGGGGCACCTTGCGTGGTATCCTACAGCACGCTGCACTCTCCTGAGACTCATTGCGTTTCAGCAACATCAGCTGCTTCCTGGTTTGCTCCTGGACTTGGACGGGCCCGGTGACACGGGACTCTGCCCACAGGAGCTTCCCGCGGCCCATGCAGCCCCCTCGCTGGACCGAGGGTTCAAGGACAGGTTTCCGAGGCGCGGTCCGTGTGATCCGCCTCCTGCCGTGGGTCTTGGGTCGAGCTGAACACCCACCAGGTCATCTGGTTCTGGCGTCCGGCACGGAGACCACCAGCTGCACAGCGGCCCCCCGGTCCTCCTTCCCCAGGAGCCCACCCCCACCACGTCGCGTGTCGCAGGGGAGCGCGAGGACAGCGGCGACCAGGCCGCACAGCAGCCCCTGGGCCGGACAGCGGTCCCTTCTCAGGGCGACACACCTGCCCCGTGTTTGTCGACGGCCACCGAGTGGGCGTCTGTGCACGTGGAGGACAGCGAACCGCTCGGGGCGTCGGTCCGCGCGGGGGGGTCTGGTGCCTCGGGGGTCACCTGAGGCACGGACACTGTCCCCGTCCGCGACACAGTCCAAACCGCACGGCTCGGTGCCTAGGCAGCCCAGGAAGACGGGACACGTCCCGACCGGACTTCCTCTGTGGGCTCCACGCACGGGGGCTCCCACGCCGGGGACAGGCTCGGGGGCTGTCCCCGTACAACCCACGCTCTGCCGCCTGGCACACCCCCGTTCCCTGGGACGAGGGGGAGGTCCTTATGTGGTCCGGGGGGGGGGCCCCCCCAGACGAGTGAGGGTCGGCCACACCCAGGAAAGTCCCTGCATGCTGGCGAGGGCTGCCGCCAGGCACCCCCCCCCGTGCTGGGCTCGCACTTCCCACGCCCCAAGGGCTGTGAGGAGGGAGTGTCTGGTTGAAGCCAGGGGAAGAAAAAAGGTCAGTTCTTCAAATTCTGAATCTGAGGCCCGATTTTGGGGAAGGCGGCGCCGGGAGCTGGCTGTCAGCAGGCGCGGGGTGGCTGGGCCGGGTCACCGGGGCGGCGATGCCGAGAGCCAGCACGAAACCATGGGGGCATCAGGCACCAGAGACGTGGCTGCCCGGCGGCGCACTCGGCCCCGGTGGGGACCGGCCCGGCCGGAGGAACGCGGTCCCCACCCTGCAGAGGGGGGCGGGGCCCTTCCGTCGGGAACACACCGTGGACGTGACGCTGCCCCCCCCCTTCTCCGCCACGCGCACACCTGCGGGGCTCGCGGCAACTCCGCGCCTCTCGGGAGCCTGCACTGAACCAGCGGAACTCCTCCCACAGGAGAAAGTAACGTGTGCAGACGGAGTTGGAAGGGGGCTTCAGGGTCTCGGCCACCCCACACACGGCCGAGTGGGGGTCAGGAGCCCTGGCGGGGCTGCTGGGAGGGCTTGTCCACAGGGTTCCTTCCGCACCGGGGGCGGGGCAGCGATGGCCCCGCTGGGGCTGCTGGACCCGCAGGGCCGTCCTCTGGCGGCCGGGCCCTCTCGGCCCACGGGCCCCGCCCTCCCCACACAGCTGCCTTCCTCGGTGGGCTGGGCCGGGCCCCCTCCTCCCACGGGGGTCTGCCAGCCCCACGGGCCTGAGCTGGGCGCTGGGCGGCATCGCCCCACGCTCTGTTGGTCCGAGCAGGTCACAGCCCAGACCAGGGAGGGGACAGAGCAGAATCCCAGGTCCCAGGGTCTCGTGGACAGCGAGGGGGCTGTGACGTCTCGCAGACGACGCGGGGGTGGAGGGAGAAGGGGGTGAGGACACGGGAACACCCCTCCTTCCCACCTCACACTGTCAAACACACACGCTGACAACTGTAAGACCCTGACACGCTTTTTGGGGAAGAAAAAATATAACTTATCAGACTAGGAAATTTAGGAAAATTTAGCTAAGCTCTGCGTAAGTCTGATACTTCCGGAAGCTGCTATATCAGGTCACAGTACCTTTTACAATGTCCTGGAATGGCCTTGGCTGGTGTGGCTCAGTGGACTGAGCACTGGCCTGTGAACCAGAGGGTCGCAGGTTCGATTCCCGGTCAGGGCACAGGCCTGGGTGGCAGGCCAGGTCCCCAGCAGGGGGTGTGTGAGAGGCGACCACACACTGGTGTTTGTCTCCCTCTTCCCCCCTCTCTAAAAAGTTCTGAAAGCCACACTCGCAGCCCAACTCAAACACTGAAGTCACGTCACACGAGGGCAGGTCCCCTGGGCGACACCCGCTCTGCAAGTGCGCTCGCGGCCCAGCCCACAGCCAGCCAGTGCCCCAGCTCCCCCCTCCCTCCTTCCCTCTCTCCGGCTGCAGCTTTGGCAGCAGCAGGACTTTCCCAAAAGGGTGCACACTTCTCAGGTGCTGAAGTCTGGTTTCCGTTCCCTTCCCGAACTCTCCCGACCCTGGTGTCCCCTGACAACCGGAGCGGTGGCTCCACCCCCCTGGGGAGACTGTGATCACGCCGTGCTGTGTGGTGTCTGGGGAGACAGGGAGGGGGAGCTACACTGATGCACTTGGGAAACACTCCTGGACACACCCCCCAGGGTCTGACTGAACCCTCGTGGGCCATGGGCTGGCCTCTGGGAGCCCGGCCTGGACCGGCAGTGGGGGTGTCGCCCTCCGGCCATCAAGTGGAGACCAGGGCCACTCCCAGGTGGGGCCTCATAAGCCCATCCAGGGCCTGCGGCTGCGGAGTCCCAAGGGCTCCGTGCAGAACAGCCCTAGGGGGGAGCGTGGCTCCAGCGGGCGTCCTGTCCTCCCAGGAGTGGACCGCGGCTGGCCAGGAGGGTGGACTTCTTTCCCAGCCCTGCCCCCACCCCCACCCCCACACTGTCTCCCCTCAGCAGGGATGTGTGCCGTGCCCACCCCTGGGCGTTGCAGGTGGCGGGCACCCCAGCGGGCTCCTACCGGGACCCAGTGCCCAGCATCAGCGTCCTCCCACCGGGCCTGGGCCCACCACGCGGGCAGGAACGCTCAGGCCCAAAGACACCGCCTGCCCCAGGCATGGAGCAGCTGCCCAAGAGGCAGAGTCCCCAGCAAGTGCCCCAAACCACCCCCACCAGCCGTGGGCCCTGGCGGGAACCCAAGACCCAGGCACTAGCTCAGGAAAGCTGGGGCTGGGGTGAGGGGCTGGCCATAGGTCAGGACCGCACCCCACAGGCAGCCTGCAGGACCCCCTGTTCCATTCCCCCACCTTTGTGCTCTGGCTGAGGGGTGCCCAGAGCCAGAAGAGGGGAGACACAGGGAGGAGGGGCTGCAGAGTCTGGGGGGCAGGGTGGAGGCTCTGCAGGGAACAGGGAAAGAACAGCCTTTTGCGGGCTGGGAGGGGCTGCAGAGATAAAAATAAAACCCCAGAATTGCCTCCTGAGCTCGTGGTTGGGGCCCAAAAGCGTCCAGGCCACAGGCAGTGGGGGCTGTGCACAGGCCACCCAGCGGGGCGGGGAGAGGGGCTGCCAGGGGCCGGGCCCGGCAGGCAGGAGGGGGCTGGGCAGGCCCTGGAGCGGCCAGTGGCAGGCGCCCCAGGAGTCTGAGCTCTGACACCAGAACCCTGAGACTCATTACTCCAGGGGGCTGCCCTGCACACCGGAGGGCGTTGAGCATGGCCCGGCCTGCAGGGGGCGTGAGACCAAGGGGCCTTGGAGGCCATAGGCAGACTGCCTCTGGTTCCCAGCCTGCACCCACCCCAGGGTGAAGAGCGCTGGAGCAGGTGGGCCCAGGGGTGCTCTGCCAGCCCCTGGCTCTCTGGGCTTGTGGCTCCCTGCACAGGCTGGCCAGCCGCACCCCCCGAGTTCCCCAGGCTCCTGACGAGGATCCGTCTCCGCAGGTCTAATGCCAGAGCACCACGTGCCCCTCCCAGGAGCCCAGGAGCAGGAGGAGCCGCCAGGCAGCCACTGCAGCTGCGACCACGGCCGTGGTGTGTGGTGTCCAGGGGGACAGGGAGGGAGAGCTACACCCACGCACTTGGGAAACACTCCTGGCCACACCCCCCAGGGTCTGACCGAACCCTCGTGGGCCATGGGCTGGCCTCTGGGAGCCCAGCCTGGACCAGCAGCAGGAGTGTCACCCTCTGCCCCTCTTGTGGAGGCCAATGCCTCCCCCAGGTGGGGACTCGTAAGCCCACCCTGGGACTGCACTGAGGCCCTGCCGGGCAGAGGCCAGACTCGGCACCAGGAGGGAGGGTCCACTCCACCTCAGGGCGGCTCCCCCACGGTGGCCCAGAGGCCCTGGCCCCAACCCAGCTGGGAACCCAACGACCAGGAAGGATGTTCGTGACCCGGCTGGGCGCCTCCTCGGGCTCTGCCCTGTGACTGGGCCAGCAGGACCTCCCACCGTCTTGACCTCGGCCCAGCCCCCAGGGGCCCCCGGGAGCCTGACTGTGCTCCCTGGCAGCCAGCAGCAGAGGCAGGCCTGTGTTCTCAGTGGCCCAGGTCCCCTGGGGGCCCACCTTGCGCACCCAGGGCAGGGCTGCCAGGCTCCCCTCGGCTCCCTGAGCTCTTGGCACAGGGTGGCCCGTTCCTCCCCAGGGACAGCGGTGCTTCTGACTGCTCTGCAGGGAGCTCAGACCCAGGTCCTGCACTCGTTGCCGCGACAAGGAGCTCCACGGCCTGTGGGGAGTGGCCCTCTGTGGCTGGGGGGACGGCAGGAGGCTCAGGAAGGACACGCTGGTTTCCTTCCCTTTGACCCGGGGCGCAGAGCAGGCGCTGAGGGCAGGGCCTGTCTCCGCAGCAGCCCAGGCCTGCACCAGGCTCCACTCTTAGGCCGCGCGCTCCTCCTCCTCCGCTGCCCGAAGGACGCCGGCGTCACTGGGGCCCCGGCTCCCGCGAAGGCGTGAGGGCTCCTCAGCTCCGCACACGGCACCCTCCTCGGCCGGCCCTGACCCTGCACCTGCCGGGCACACCCTCTAGGCCACCCCACTCGGGCCCCGGGCAGTGGCAGCAGACTAGGAGCTCTCGGCAGGCCAGGGGCTCCTGGCCCCCCTGAACAGGGCGGCTCAGAGGGTCAGTCAGGACCCAGACCCTTGGGGCCCGCAGGGCACTTCCCGTCACCGCTGGGGGTGCCGGGGCCTTTTCTGTCTCCCCTCCCCATTTTCCCAGGGGGGCCTCCTGACCCCCCCATCATACACCTCAACCTGGGCGCCCCCACCCCCTAGTGTCACCCAGGTGGGTGCCCACGGAGAGGCTGCCTCCCCCAGTGAAACGGACTCGCCCCACCCACAGTGCCACGCCTCTGCTCGCCACTGCTCCCCCAGCCGACGGTCACGGACCCTGAGGCTGCCATCCCCGCAGGCCAGGCCCTGGACGAGGTCCAGCTCGGCCGAGGGACTGACTGCCAATCTGCCCCGGGGGGGCCTCTGGCAGCGGAGGCCAGCGCCTGCTGGGCCCCAGGGCAGCTCACGGCGGGCAAGAGGGCTCAGCTCTGCGAGCATTTATTAGGACAGACAGTGGCAGGGGCAGGGGCTGCAGGCCCTCGGCCCTCATTTTGCCTTCAGGTAGATCTTCGGGGTCTGCCAGCCGGCGGGGGCCTCCTTCAGGCCCGCCTTCAGCCAGATGCGCCTGAGGTCCCTCTCGAACTTGAGCTGCGGGCAGAGGGCAGGACCCGGGCTGGTTGGGGGCACAGCCCGGCACAAGGGCCCCCCGCCCTGCCCACCCCGGCCCGGGACCCGCACGCACCTGCTTCCGCTTCAGGCGTCCTTCCCGGACCTTCCGGCGCAGGAACCGGGTCCGCTTGACCAGCTTGCGGTACTTGTGGTGGTTCATCTTCCGCCGGCGAATCTTCAGCACGTTCTTGCACTGCACGCCGGGGGCATCCCGCACGCCCTCGTCCCCCTGCTCGGCCCCTTCCCCCACCTGGCCAGGTGGACACTCATAAAGCTGGGCAGGAGCCACGGTCCCTGGGGCCCCAGCGCCCGGTCTGGGCAGGAGGTAGTGGGCAGTCAGCCAGCTCTCCAGGGGGCTGATGGACATCTTTCTGGGGACCAGCATCTCCTCAAGCTCCAGCTGGACACCCTTGCTGGGAAGAACGGCAGCCGGACTCGGGCCTGTTGGCTGCGTGCTGTAGCGGGGCCTGCAGACATGGCTGCCCAGCAGCGCTGAGACAGGCCGGGGCCGGCTGAGGCCTGCAGGAAACACGACGGCAGTTAGCACCCACAGGGCTGCACCAGACCCTGCCATGGCCACCTGGACCTGATGGGGCCGGGGAACAGGAGCCCCATTCCGGAGTGGGATGGCCTGGCCCGAACCCCTGCTGACATTCCCAGGCGGTGGGGTGTCAGACTCCCCCCGGGGATGCTTGGCTGTTGCCGGGACATCGGTGCGGCCAGACCCTGGCCTCCACTAGTGAGCCACCCATGCCTAACCCCGTGCGTATCGCGCCTGTATGGCCCCGCGGGACCTCTTACCTGCCCGGGGAACGACCCTGAGCAGCTGAGAAGTCAGACTCGACAGGAACATGGTCGGTGGGTGGCGGCGGCCCCAGGCGCTCAGGGGAGCTAGGACACAGGTGCACGCTGAGGGCACGCCGAGCGGCCCGCGGCGCGCGCAGCAGGCCCGGCAGGCGGGGGTGGGCGCCCGCAGTCCCGCGCCGACCCGGCATCCCGTCCCCTCCTCACCCTCTCCCACAGCAAGGTCCTCACTTCAAACACTGCTCCCTCGAACGGCCAGGTGCGGGCACGAACCCCGCTTCCTGAGCGAACCTGGCCAGGTCGCCGACCCTCCCCGGGCCTCAGCTTCGCGCCGAGCCACCCACCGCGCGGGTCGGGGTCGGCGCTTGAACACCCAGAGGCCGGAAGCGAAGCACCGCGGCTGTGGGTGGGCCCGGGGTGGGGGGGTGGTCCATCGGTTTGGCCAGCTGTCCCCGAAGCCCGCACACCACAGCCACCCGCCCAACCTTTGCAGTCCCGATCCGAAAGACTAAAACTGACCATTCCGCCGCCAACCCGCTCACACTCTTCCGGTCCGTTCCTAAACCTGACCCCCGGAGCCGTCACCCGACAATTCTTATGTCCAGCGCCGCCTGGCGCCCTTACGGAACCCGACTTTGCATGGGCTCAGACCCCACCGAGAGCAGAAAGCAGCGGTTTCCGGCCAGGGGAGCAGCTTCGGCAGGGCCCTTACGGAGAAAACTACAACTCCCACAATCCCTAGGAATGGGATCTGCGCCTGCGCGGGCTAACGCGCGTTTGACGGGCCCGACACGCCCAGCAGGCGGAAGTAGCCTTTGGGAACGAGGGACGTCACCCTGGCGACGGAAGTGGAGTTCGCGGAAGAGACTGGGGTGCTGCACCCGCTGGACTTGGCCTCCCCCCACCGCACCCCACCCCTCTTCCCGGGGAAGGCATTACGAGGGCAGACTGGCGCCCAGGCTCCGCGCGTTGCGGAGGTGTATTTCCTTTTCTTTTTTTGTTTAAAGATTTTATTTTCGGTAGGAAGGGAGGGAGGGAGAGAAGTATCAGTGTGCGCGAGAAGAAAATAACCAGTCGCCTCACGCCCCCAACCAGAGCCTGGCCTGCAACCCAGGCCCGTGCCCTGCTCAGGAATCGAACTGGCGACCTTTCACTCAAAGGCCAGTGTTCGAATCCACCGAGCCACACCAGCTGGGGCTCCTTTCCTTTTTTGAAAGCGAACTCCCAAACTGTGCCTGCGGAGAGAAAAATCAGAGAAGTGTTTTTGTCCAAACACCAAAGGCAGCATCCGCGGAGCCCTGCGTCTGGCTGGGCCCAAGGGTCCCCTGGGGAACCGGCAGGGGTGACGGATGCCGTGAGGTCTTTGGAATCCGGGTGGTGGCTCTGCCAGCAATTCCCAACAGGAAGTGGCCAGGCCTGGTCACCCCCAGGACCCAACCCAGCTGGAGAGTGGGAGTTGAGCGCTCCAGCCTTGCTCTCCCACTGAGGTCACCCAGTGGCACTGTCCCCCACCCTGCCCCCACCCCCCAGGCTGCTTCACCGAGGAGGTCTGTGCATGGGCCTGCCCCACAACCACCAGCTGCACGGCCTCCCAGACTTCTGTGATTTGTCCCGTGTGCCACCCCAGCAGGTGAGCCGGCTTTCCCATCTCCGTGTCTGCACGGCTTCCACACGCCTGCCTCCAGGCCCAGTGCCCTCCCAGCTGCACAGATGCCATCTGGGAGAGCCCTCACTCCGTGCACCGATGGGCGGGAAAAGGCCCCGAGACCCACCCACCCTGCTCCCCAGCACCCCTGCCTGCCCACTCACCTACCACCACGCTGAGGGGTGCAGCGCCAAGGGTGACGCTCTCAGTGTCTCGTTCCTGCCTGTGCCGGCCTGACACTGGCCGTGGGCTACAGCCCGGCGTCCCTCGGGCGCAGGCAGTTGCACACTTCCAAACCTTCCCTTCCTCGCCCACAGGAAGCAGCCTTTACCAGAACGTGCCGACGGGCGAGGCCCCTGCCAGCCTCTGTCGGGAGAGCAGGCGCGCAGGAGCTCCACGCCGAACACGACTCCGGGGCGGCCGGCCGAAGCGCAGGCAGCACCGGGACGGGTGCCGCAGGCTGCGCTCAAACAAGCAAGCAGGACACACTAGAGTCTTTAATGTCCCCATGTCCTGAGTAGAGAGAGTCGTGTTTATTCACCCACACAAAATGCATATATAGGAAACCTCTATTTAGGGGCTGGCTGGTGGCCTGCACTCAGCATTGCAGATAAAAATATACGACTTTCAACACAGATCTAAAGACCGTCACATTTTAAAAATCAGAATTCCCTACACAAGTTTTAAGCTGACAGAATCCAAGTTCTGAGTTTTCATATATAGCTTTAACTTGTATTAAACACGTTTATTTACAACGTGGATAGAGAATAAGGGGCTATTAAGGCCATTTTATCATCGTGAAACTGCAAAATATGTACATAAGTACAACCTAATATAGGCAAAGGTTCTAAAACTCATCTTCTCGGTTTAACGTGATTGAGAATCAGTATGGGAGTGAAGAAAGCCCGTCGTTAGCACCGATCCACACCGCTGGGATGTGCGTAACCCCCTGCAGGCTGCTGCTGCAGGGCTGCCGCCGAGGCGGGCACCGGCGGGCACCGTGCCCAGGCCGACCAGAAGGGCACCGAGCCAACCTCTCGATTCCATCTCCAAATTCATCACAAGGTCCGAGGTCGACAACCATTTACAAAAAGTCACGCCACAGGCCAGTCACGCCCACGTGGAAGGGCAGCCCGCCAGGCCCCCGCGCCTCACCTCCGACGCCGGCTGTGGCCCGGGGGGTCCCGCTCGTAGCGACGACCCGCTCGCTCGTAGGACCGTGAGCGCTCCCGGCGCTGGTCTCTGTAGTAATGACTCTTCTTCTTGTACTTTCCAGAACTGTCCGCCCGCTCCCGGGAGCGGCTCCGAGAGCGGGAGGAGCTCCGACTCCGAGACTCGTGCGGCTTCTGCGGGGGGTACTTGCAGTCCTTGGACTTTCGGTAGCTCCTCACCTTGGAGCCCTTGTAGGGAGCGCCGCGGTGCGCCTGTCTGGGCGGCGAGTCACTCCGGCTGCGCGACCGGCTCTGGGACTTGGACCCTCCAGATGTTGAGCCACTGTCGCTTTTCCTGCGAAGGACAGGGTAACCAACTGCCCCAAAGGCCCGAGGGGCGGCCACCCGGCCTCTGCACCCTGGGGAGAACGCCCACCCGCCAGCGCTGGGCTCCCCGGGCACACACCTCCTCTTAGGAGACGCAGATCTGGACGGGGACCTCGAGTAGCTCTGCTCACGGCTCCCGCTCCGACTCCCGCTGCCTCGTGCCTTCGGCAAGCTGAGAAGAGGGCGGCAGTCATGGGCCTGCGCTCCGCCAGCCCCCGCGGCCCCGGGACGCCCAGGCACTCACCCATTCACTGGGCTGTCGGCTTTGGCTTTCTTCACACCCTCCGTTTTCCTCTTGGCGCTCTTCGCAGAGAGCGGGGAGGCCTTGTTCCCTTTACCTTCTTTGGGAGACTCCGCTAGAACCACACACGAGAAGTTAACACCCGACCATCAGAAATTACGTTACACAGTGGGTTAGCAGAACAAGGCAGCGCCACTCCTGTGGGATTCAGGGTGACCTCTGCCCCCAGCCTGGGACGCGGGGCCTCCACGCACACCGAAGAGATGCGGGAGGCCGCCTGCCTGGCTCGGCCCCCCTTGGGGCTGGGGGCAGGTGCCGTGCTAACGCCAGGCTCTGACCACAGTCGGCAGCCACAGGTCCACACAACTAGGCAGGCTGGGCCAGCAGAAGCCTTTCGGACAGCCCGCCCACTGCCTTGCTCATAGAAACAGAAGAATGACGAAAGCGAACTGCTTCAGAAGTCCCATCCCATTCCAAAGGCCACCAGGTGTCTGCTGGCGCTCCAGGGCCTGCGGTGCTCAGGCAGGTCTGGAGGAGGGGGGGTCCGCCCTGCAGGGAGGAGACTCACCAGGCTTGGGGGCAGGCGAGAACCCCGAGGTGCCGTCCAGGGCCTGGGTGCCGCCCGGCAGCAGGCCCCTGGCTTGTGCCTTGGCCTCTTCGATGGCATGCTTTCTCTTCTCCACTTCACTTTCCAGGTACGTCAGATCAACCTGGAAAAGCCAAAACCCACCTGTTGAGAAACAGAGGCTCCGAGCCCAACACAAATGTCCACCACGAGAAAAAGAAAACCAGGACCACCTTCTTCCGAGTATACAGCTGCAGGATCTTCAAGCAGATCTCCTGAATTTGGTCCTCGCTCGTCCCGAACAGAAGAAACCAGTGGGGACGGTTGGGCAGAGGAATCTGCGAACACAAACACCCACGACGTCACGCTCGTCCGCGGGGCCCGCGAGCCCTCGGTGCACCGGAAACACGCCTGCAGGCCGCCAAGCAGGCTGCTGACCGGCACTGGCAAGCACAGGCTGAGGAACGCTCCGGGAGTGTCTGGGGGGCTGGGGACAGGGCCAGCCCAGGCGCCGGTGGCGGCGCGGCACTGACCTCCAGCGTCCGGGCAGCAAGGTAGATGCAGGCGCAGGCGATGCTCTCGGGCTGGAACCTCACGAAGACGTCTGTGCGAAGGCTGTCGTTCATGTAGTTCCTGGAATGAAACACAGGAGGGGCTGCAGAACCCTGGCGACCCGGGACACCCGTCTGCACCGTCTGGGGAGGTCACTGCTCCTCTAGGGAGGCTACTGCCGGGACTGGGGCTACGCAGTCCTGTGACCCTCAAGGTGGGGGACAAATGTGCTAACTGCTTTTTCTGAACACAGGACAGGAAGAAGGGAAATCGTTGGCAAAAAATTTTTAAGCTGGCTGAATGTCAGACAATCGGTGTTGCTATGAAAGAGAACCAACTTCAACTCTACTTTTCCCTCTCCACTGTGGCCTGCTCTCATGCAAAGCACAAAGCCTCAGAAAGAAGACAGCTACCGGAGGGGCGCGAGAGCGCTGGGCTAGAGAGGCCTGAACGCCCGGAATCCGGCGTGCGGAGGAGCATGCAAACTCAGTGGACTGCCGGGCACGGAGCCGCAGGCCACGAGGCGTGTCTGTGACCGGCTGTCCTCCCGCGCTCCTCTTCCTCCGAGGCGCTCCTTCCTTCCTTCCTTCCTTCCTTCCTTCCTTCTGGACCGCCGGCCCTTCCTCTCGCGCAGGGGGTCCGCGGGGGGCCCTGGGAGCCCGGAGCACTGTGCGGGGGGGCTCGGCGCCCACAGAGCAGTCCTCTTCTCAGGCTTAGCAAAGACCCGCATCCAAACTGTCCCATCGCAACAAGAAGTCTTAAAATGAACATTCGTAAAATCAAACAGCAGCAACAAAACACTACCAGTTTCAGCACAATCAGTACATTTAAAAACTTTATCATACTTGAGGAAAGAGAGAAATACAAAACATTTGCATTTTTCCAAAGTTAAACGATTTTAAAATACGTTGCATTTAACATTTTTCTTCATATATATTTTTCTATATATAGGACTTAACAGATCAAAACCAG